TGTGTCAATTCAGTTGAAGACTGATAAAACCAAGAATAGTTATAGAGCCTGAAAAAACTGACCAGAGACTATCGCCAGATAGTTCTGATCCAAATATGGATCTGAAACCTTCCCAAAGTTCAGAGGTCATCTGAACTTGGGGCTAATCTCTAAACCCTATCAATCAGATTCAGACATAGATGAAGGAAATGAACAAAGGGTTCAGGCCTGATAAACAGATTTCACATTTTGGAAACTGAGAGGACCTTCGCTAAAAGGAAAACAAAGAAATATATGGCATTTATTGCTAAAATGTGACAGGTTAAATGAAACAGGGGATTCCTCATGTTGAAGCAGACCAATCACAAGTGCTGGGATTCTGTGTTATGAGCAGCTGTTTCTCTGTTCTCTGTTCACCTACAGCCCCAAGCTTGAACAACTGAGCGACATCATTATTGACCTTCAGCCACTCCTGGAAAAGGACAGCTGTCTTAAAGTAGTCATGAGGGATAAGCCTGTCCTGATTTACAAACAGCCCCCCAACCTCACACAGCATCTCTCCAGCAATGGGTTACCTAACTCCTATTCTCATCAAGACACCAGACCTTGCTCCAGACCCAGATGCCAGCTCTGCCTCATCAGCACAGACCACATCAACACTGGGCCAAATAACATGGACTATATTTGAGGTTCATTCACCTGTTCCTCTACCACTATCATGTATGCCAGCATCTGCTCGGAGTGCCCCTTTGCTATCTACATTGGACAGACAGAGAGATCCCTATGTGTAAGAATGAATGAACCTTGTTCTGACATGAATTCCAGAAACGCACAAAAGCCTGCGGCAGAGCACTTTAGCCTTCCTGGACTTCCATTGTCGACCCCAGAGTAGCAGTCCTTAGACAACAAAACTTTTAAAAGACAAGGTTCTTTGGGTGAATCTGATATCTTTTATTAGACCAACTTAAATTTAAAGTTTAGTTGATCTAATAAAAGATATCAGATTCACACAAAGAACCTTGTCTGCCTATGTCCTTAGACTAACACGGCTACAACCTACACCCCTGAAAATTTAAGAATGAATTTCAACAGGAAACTGTGAAACAAGAAATCATCCACAGACTGGATTGTGCTTAGCATGGTCTAAATAGGGGCTACATCTTCTTATCCTATTACCTGTATTATTAACCTGCCTCTCTCAGTGGGTTAACTGATTTACATTTCTTTCTCCTACTCACCTTGCCTCTCCCAGCAGTTCCCCCTTCCCTCTCCCCCTTCCCTTCATTTTGTTTCCATCACTGCTCTTTATTTAGAAGCTCTGCTTCCTGCAGTCCCTTCATAGCATCTGATTAAGCAAGCTGCTGGTTATGAAAGCTTATGCTATATATCTCTGATTTATTTAGTTTATAAGGTGTAAATCTACCTTGCCTTCTTCCCTGCTATTACACATGGAAGCTCTTAGTAGATGTAGCCATAAGGAACTGATATTTGCATCCTTCAGTTTAATACAGAGGACTTTGTAGGTGTCTGTCTATTATATTATAAACATTCAGTACCCAGACTAAATTTCTATGGCTTTCCTGTTAATGAGATATTTAGCTGAGGTTTGAGAAATAAATTAATATGTGATTTGAATAGTTGCTATTGCCTGGCATCCTTTTATTTGCTGGTTGGTCACTTGTTGTCAGGACTTGCCTCCAATTGGTACTGTGACTCACTCTCTCTTACATAGCCAGTTGTCAGCTATTGAGTTTTGAAACCTCTAAAGCTACTTTGTTTTCCCACTCAAGATCAAGCCATTTGCCAGATTTTGGATCAAGAAAGATTTTTTTCCCTGGATCAGACTAGTATAAACTACAGTGCTGTAGCTAAGCTAACAGTAGCATATCATGCATTTAGCTCTGAAGATCCCATTCATGAGTATGTAGTGCGTATCCATTATAGTGCACATATCAAGATATCCATAGTATATAGCTTTATTTTGTGCGTCTATGCAACCACCGCTGAAAACACTTCTGATTTGAAAGTTTCTGCCAATTTGGGAGTGGTCCCTTAATGTTAAAATGGGGAATACCAGATGACCCTTGAGGTTCTTTCCAACCCTATGATTCTGTGATTCAAACCAGTAATTTTTCTCAAAACAATTGAGTATTTTTATGTGCACCCACTAAACCACATAGGCAGAGAAAGAAAATATTGCATGCTAACACTCTGGTAGCTCCATTTTTTAAATAACTTTCTTCATGGTTTTGCTGTTACCTTTTCCTGTTCCTTCTTAAACCTAATTATTTTTGTTTCGTTCCCACCACTGCTACTTTGTGAATTATAAGCCTGCTATTCTTAATTAGCTTAATGATTGTAATGCTAAATACAAGGATACCAAAATCCTGCCAAGAAATAATCGGAATTTCTGGAATTGCTACTTCTGCTCAGAAGAAAGAGCTTTATTGTCTGCAGAATAGTAGATTTTAAGGCCTTACCTCTTGTGGATTAAGGCCATGTCCCTAGTAAACCAAAATCACCACTGCACAGGCGGCTTTTTGATTGTTCTACGCAAACCACAAGATTCTGCCATAAACTACACCCAACAGTGTTGTGCTAAAATAAACACCCTTTCTCCATCTCTCAACTGAACTGCACTCCCAGCTCTGTATATTTACAGCACAAAAGTCTACATTTTCCAAAGCCTGGCATCCCTGTTGGAGATACAATTTGAAACCACAAAACTTGTACCGATGCTCTTTTGCCAAGACATGAGTAGTGGATACAAACAGTTGTGTTTGGCTGTTTGGGAACTTGATATGTTTATCTCTACAACATGTAGGCATTTATAGCATGAATATCACCATAGTATTTTCAAGTGGAAAGCAGACCATCAGCCAGTTAAGTGATAATGCTTATCCCACAGCACACTTTGGAACACAGACATTTTGAAAATTATAATTGTGCCCTACAAATCAGGCCCAGCTGGTGACAAGCTGCACTAGTTCTCACACTCTTTTTTTGCAGTGTCTGGTCTATGTCCTTTGGGGCTGACTCCACACTGATTGAAACCAGTGGCAAAGTACTAGTGATTTTGGTAGCGTAAAATAAAGTCCTTCTGCCTTACTGCAGCAGTCTGTCCACCAGGAAAAAGGGGTGGAGGAGGAAAAGAGGGAGAAGTGGGACGAAACCACCCCTGCTTTGCTGGTGGCATCTCCCTCTTGTCCAGTTCCCTGATCCACCCATGGTGGTGGGCAAATAAACAACACATCTTTTACCCACTTCACAGAGATTCCAGGAGACTCGGTTCCTATTTGTTAATGTGTTGTAAAATCACAGGCAGTTAGCACTGGAAGGAACTTCATAAAGTCTTCTAGTCCAGCCCCCTGCTCAAGGCAGGATTAACACTGACTAAACCATCCCAACCAAACGCCTGTCCAACCTGCTCTTGAACATGTCGAGGGCTGGAGATTCCACAGCTTGTCTAGGCCACCTGTTCCAGTGCTTGACCACCCTCTTACTCATCCTAGTCTCCAACTTAAATTTCCTCTGCTGTACTTTGAGGCCCTTGCTCCTAGTTCTGTCTCTTATGGCTGCACAGAAAACCCCATCTCCATCCTTTCTATAGTCACCCTTCAGGTATTTGAAAACTGTTTTCAAATCCACGCCCCCCCACCCAAGTCTTCTCTTCTCCAAACTAAATAGCCCTACCTCTTTGAGCCTTTCCTCCTAAATCTTGCCTCTCAGGCCCCTAATCATTTTTGTCACTCTGTGCTAGACTCTTTTCCAATGAAGAAAGAGATCTTCCAAAGACAGGTTTTACAACTGAGTATTATTATTTGTTGTTTTAAATCTATATTTCATCTTAATTCTGTCTCCATTCCAGGCCTGAGCCAATGCATTGAGATCTGTGAGAATCTTTCAATTTGCCTTCAGTGAAAAATGAGTCTTGTCTCCTTGGGCTTGCATTTTACTTCACCATGTGACAGACTGTTAACACAGCTTTGACATTTCCATCATCAAGTCTCCTCACACACAACTTCTGGTCAGAACCAAGGTCTGTATAAATCTCACAAACAATGACTTATTGTATTTATTTTATTTCTTACCTATTTGGTAAAGTACCAATCTAGGGGTACTTTATAAATCTTAAAATTGTAACATCCAAGACAAAAATTCTATCCATGAGCAGAGCAATCAAACAACCATGAGAATCTTCATATCAAGAATATGAACTCATCCTTCTCCAAAAATACTGATAAAAAAGGAGTAAAGTCAATGGATACATGCCCAGCTATCTATATGGCCATTCTTAGAAGGTTGACAGGTTGCTGGGTGATCTAGAGCACATTTATTTTCATGAACTCCCAGCCACTTTGATGGAAGTTTGATTAGGGTAAAGAAGTAAAATTTCTGCTTCTTTTTTTTTTACTTAAAATAAAATTGCTTTTTGCACAAGAATGTTCCTTCTTTCTTCAGCATTTCAGGCATTAAAATATTGTTCTAATTAGCATTGTGTGAAAAATTGATGTATTAAATCAGGGGCCTGAACCAAAAAGATTGGGAGGGGGGGGAAATAATTCAGGGTGGACCTGTAACATTTTTTTCCCTTGCAAAAAGGGGGGAAAAAAGTGAATTGAACACAATTCAACCTGAAATGAATTTTTTGTTGATTTTCTATATTTTAACCCTTTAAAATAAGTTTAATTTTATTTTTAAATGAAATATTTTGAAATAAGTTGAAATATTTCATTTTGGAGCAGGTCAAAATTAACTGTTTTAATTTTTCAAAATTATATTTCTCAATGACTTCCCTGCGAAAATGTTCATGGGACCTATTCAACAAATAGTTCCCATCAATCAGAAAGTTCATATTTTGATGAATAAACTATTTCTCAAAAATTAACTATTCATAAAAAATCCCCAGCCCTAATCATGATGACTATGGTGAGTAGTATCCTGCCATCATACTTAAAATTTTAAAGTTTAAATAGTTTTCTTGACTTTAAAAAAATGTTAATGTTTAAAACATGGTGCAGTCTGACAAAAAACAGATGCATAAAAGAGATGGTCTGCTAAAAGGGATGAAAATGTTTATGATCTGCCTGGTTGGGGATATTTTGAGATGCCCTCTTATAGGAGAAGATGCTCAGAAAAAGTGTATTATACAGGATTCACCATCATACACATTGAAATGCATTAATAATATATAAAATAACATTGTTGTGCTCATAATATTGTTTTGCCCATTGACGGTTACTGAAGTTAATGCCTTTCTCACTGGGAAGTGAGAACTGATCACCATTGCTCTCAGTAGTTGTCAATTATTTTCTTTATCCATTGAAGGTATTTTTCTGTCAGTCGTGTATAAACTCCAGGTTTCCGCATTTTTCCACAACCTTTTCCAAAAGAAATGATTCCACTGTATTTACCAGAACATATTAGTGGCCCACCTGAATCTCCCTAAAATATAAAATACAGTGTTAATAATATGTGCCTAAAAATCTCAAAATGAGCACCCAAAAATTGGGCAGCTACAAATGAGTGAACACCAGGATCCAAGTTTTCTATTCACCATGGAAAAATATAGTAAAACCCAGTTTTTTTTCATTTTAAGGAGAAAAACCCAATTTTTCTTATTTTAAGGAGGAAAAATCCTGGATTTCCTCCTTTAAGGAGTAAAACGTGGGAAAAGACAGGTTTCCCCTTGCAGGCCGGCAGAGATCCAGCATGCAAGCGACTGGGGGGAGCAGGAGGAGGGTGGTCAGGTGTGGGGCACACATGCACATGACAGCCAGGCAGCCTAGAGAGCAGGTCCTGCAGCTCCCTGCAGGTAAGCTGAGGGGAGGGATTGAGGCCCCCATAGTGAGGGAGGGAACTGGGCAGGGCTGGAACTGGGGATGGAGCTGCTGCCACCCAAAATGAATTTGCTGCACAATAAAGCATCACCGTCTACACGTGCACAGCAATTAAGGTGCAGTAAACTAATTTTCTACATTGCCAGATAGTCCCATTAGATACATGTGGTATCCAGCAGCACAGTGAACTAGTGTGCTTAAACACATGTGTAGACAGTGATGTCAGGATTAGTTTACTCAAATTGAGCCACTGTATATTCAGTCACATTAAGTGCACATGTAGAAGTGCCCTCAGTTTCACAGTGGGAGTCTGAGGCCTAAATAATTAATTATTTGGGAGGCTCTTTGATGAAAGGCATTACTAAACTATGTAGTTAATCTGTCTTAAATAATATTTTTGATCTTTAATGTGGCATATTTCAGATGGCTGGTACTTATTATTTTCTGCACATTTGCTTTCCTATTTCTCATCCTTCCTAGTTTTGTATAAATAAGTATTGCCTATTTAAATTAGTTATAGCTTACTTGAGTTGTATAGGAGTACCTGAGGCCCATTAAATCGTAATACTATCCAAATACATGTGGAGCAGACATTTGTCATATTGAATGTAATAGTTTGAATGTTTGTAATAGTTGACCATTAGCCAGTTTAGAAAAAGACAAAGATTCATCTTCTTATCTAGGCCATTGTTTTGGCCTACGTGCGGAAGGTCCTGGCCTTGCTCAAAGTCTTAACTCTTGAATTTTATCTCTAGAGGCATTTAACAAAGTTAACCTAAAAATGACCCTTAAGCAAACATCCCGAGAGATCAAACCCTAGGAGCCTTTGAAAAGAGGTTGTAAAAGAAAGGTCACTGCAGTGGTGTGGAAATTCCCCAAAGTAACTGAACAGTCAACAAAAGAAACTGAACCCAGCAGAAATCTGTTAAGAAAGATCCAAGCCCAAATTTGGGAGTAGTGACAGGTTTGGGTAGGAGGGGCCCAAGACGGCAACTCACTCAATAAAAACTGTAACCTACTATCCCAATTTGGAGGTAACCTCACTTGCAGAACATTGAAGGAAGAATCGCAAGTATAGGCCGGATCAGACTGATCACCTGAACCACCCCCTCCGTGAACACGAATCTCTTAGTTCACGTTGAAGCTGCGGAGCGCCTGAAAGGGACTGAAGGAAGGGGACTTGTTCCTATCGCTGCTGAGGCCAGCCCATTGAACCGTATTGCTGAGGCTAGCCCATTGAACTGTACTACTGAGGCCAGCCCATTAAATTGTACTACTGAGGAATGAAACCATATTTAGGTGTTTGACTTCTTGGAATTCTAGAATTGTAAGTATAATATAGTAATAGCTTTTTTAGTTCAAATTATATAGTTAGTTATAATTGTAATTGTTTTAAAGAAGTGCATTTGGAATATTGTTTCTGATATATGTAGTTATTGTGTTTTTAATGTTTGTGGTATTTCTTAAAGCTAAGCAGTGTTATATGCATAGCAAAGACATTTAAAATAAAATTGCGTTGTATGAATTAAGTGTGCAATCATTGTGAAATCGTGCAATCAACTAAATACTCCCCCAGCCAGTGCATCAAACGAATCAGTAAGTTGTGTGGGATCTTCTCTATTCCATAACCCACTAGAGACAACATTGTGTGATAACTGTTATCAGAAGAAGGACCATATTTTCTCACATACAACACACTATTTCCCCCAAAATCAACTTCCCCTCAACTGAGATGCCTGCATTAAGTGGGAAAAGCTGATTTTCTGCCTGGGATAAAAGTACCCTGTGATAGAAGCAGTTTGGGATAGAAGCACCTTTGATTCCTGCTCCACAGCTATAGTACTGCTATTCAAGCAACTAAGGGAGTCAGTTGACTAATAGATCATTGTTCTTCACTCCACATGAGTTAGCAATCATCTCTTCTTTGTAATTGTTTTGATGCTCCGCTAATCAAGCTAACCTTTCCTAGGGCAATTTTGCTGTCTACTAACCATGCCTGGTCTCTCTCCTCCTATTTTACAGTCCTGGAGACTCTAGCTCTTTCCAAAATCCACCCATAGATCTACCCAAGGAGATTAGTCTTCAGCAGTAGCTAGGGTTTCAACATTAGTTAAGACAGAAAGGGAGGGTGAGTCAGCTGAAAATTAGGCTCTATCCTTGCTCTATGCAGCCATAACTCTGGAAAAATTATTTTGTACATTCTGCCTTTCAAAAATAAAGTGCATATTATATTTCAGGACATGTTCTATGTGGGACAATATGGTATATCACAATGTTCATAACAGGAATAAAGATGGTGTTTAGCTAGGAACTTTGATTCTCATGTCTTTAGCAAAAATATCAGTGAATTACTGGATGCCTTCACACAAATATAATCTGCCTGGCAACTGACTCCCCAGCCCAGCCTCTGGCTTCTTTACTTTTCATTCCATCCAGAAAGAGCACACACCAACTGCTGCAGCTTCCTTAGCCTGACGAAGGGTTTTTGAACCCGAAAGCTTGCTTAATAACTATTCTCCAACTATTTGGGTTGGTCTAATAAAATATATCAAATTCACCCAAGGAACCTTGTCTGCCTATGTCCTTAGACCAACACGGCTACAACCTACACCCCTTCACACATAAAAGGCATCTGAATGTTTGTGGAGATAACTACTTTGCCATCCTTTGCTCCTTTATATTTCTGGTGAAGTGGAAAGTTCCTAATTATTCCTCTATGGTTTTTAATCATCTTCTAGGTATTATTCAGAGCCCATTTTGTCACAGCAAGAAATAGTGGCAAAAAGAGGCACTACATTCTTGCACTGATTTAGCTGTGATTTTAATACTTCCAACACAGAGTAGGCAACAATAAAATCCATTGTAAATATGGTTAAAAGCACACACTCTGAGTGAGATCCATTGTAAGGTGCTCTTTTATGTCATTTAGAGTAAAAAAGAAACAAGCTGTTAAAAAAAGTCTCCACTCTACCTTGCAAATTCACCACTCACCTGACAGGCATCACTCTTTGAAAATGCGTTATTCCACCCAGCACACAACATGTTGTTGGTTATTTTTATCTGTTTTTTATAGTTTCTGCTGCAGGTTTTCCTGTTGATGATTTTAACAGTTGCTTCCTTAAGACACTTTGAGGGCTTCCCTGAAGATGTGACTCCCCAGCCTGCCACCTGACACTTTGTTCCAGTTTTAATATCTTCATCACGTGAAGGTAGGGGCAAAAGAGCCACATATTGATTTAAATTTGCACTACCATTTAACTGGGGGGGGGTGAAAAAAGCAGGAAGAAAATGATCAGTGCCATACAGAAAGGTAAAAAAACCATGGTCACTCATTTTAAACAGCTGTTTAGATTTCTATTTAAACTGTTTTTTCTTTCTAATAAATCATTCTTTTCACATTCCTTAGCTCAGTTACACCAGTTAAAATTCAGAAAGATTCTATTCCAGTTTTACAGCAGTGGAGATGAATGAGCTAGGTATATAGTGATTAGTCTAGAAGTTGCTCGACTGAAAACCTCATAATGATAATGCTGTGTGTCCTGTAGCAGCAGAGAAAAGGAATAACAGTGAAAAGAAAAATCTAAGAATGATCAGGAACAACACAGGAGACATAGATTAGGAAAATTAGTCTTCCTGGGTGCATCTACATGAGACGTTTTAATGCCATGTAGTGTAGTTTACTGTACAGTAAGTGTGCACATCTACATGCCCACATGCTTACTGTGCAGTAAACTTCACTACTCGCAAGTAAATTTTCTACCTGCAAATGCAAGTATTAAATTTATTCACAGTAATAAATGTGCAGTAGCACACATGTAGACACCAACTGGGAGTAAGTTTGCTCCCAGTCAGCCCTGTGACTAGGGGACCAGCGTGAGCTCAGCCCCAGGAACCTGAGGCTGGGAGCCTCTCCTGCCTCAGGGCTGGGCTGCCTCTGTGGCAGCCCCAGCTGCAGGTCCTTTAAAACCCTGCAAACATTTTGAGCCCTGGGGCACACCAGGAGGGAACCTGGGGGAACTCTTGACCTCTGCACTGCTGCACAGGCTGCAGGCTACCTGTGCCAGCCTGCCCACACCCTGGTGATGCTTCCTTGGCACCACAGTGCCACACAGCTGCCAGGCCCATCCTGTCCAGCCCTGCAGGCCATTGCTGGCTGTTTTCCCCCTGCACTATCAAAGCTCAGGGCCCCTTGCCAGGTGTGCAGTTGCACACAGGGCACCATGGCCATCAGTAGTAGCCTGGCATAGTAGGTTGGGCACCCCTCAGTCCTCACAAACAACTTATAGCGCAGCACCTGGGACATGTGCAGCAGGGGTAAGCTCGGGGCACAGCATCAGTGTGGGGCCAGGGGACTGGCCCCAGGGCACTTCCCCAGAGAGGCCCCGCTGTGGGGAGGGCAGGGGCAGGGTCCATCTCACAGTCATCTGGGAGCCCCATGCCCTCCAAGCCCAGGCACTGGGGACTTGGCAGCAGCACAGGAAACTGGCTGGCCTGAAGAGGGAAAAAGGGGGAAGTGGGGTCTGGAGCCATGGTAGTAGGTGCTTCCAGGAACAAGGCCTGTCCCAGCCTAGGAAGGGGGAAGAGGAGGCAGGCTGCCTACGGCCAGCACCCAGCAGCCCACCAGCCCCCGGGAAGCAAGTGGGGATGAGAGGCTCAGCCTGGGCCCAGGCCTGCCTGTACAACTTACCATGGTCCATGGGCACCTATGCATTCCTGACACCTGATCTGAAGCCAGGAAATGCACAGGTCCCTGATACAAAGCATCTTATCTCAGAAATGTTGCAGACCCTCACAAACAGCCTCTTTCTCATGGTTCTACAGGCCCTGCAGCTGCACATGGGGTAAAGGCTGCAGTTGGCAACCGGCATATGGCCTCAGGATCACCCATGCCCATGGCTGGGGCCCTGCAAATGTGCCAGTTCCACAGGAGGAGGATCCAAGACTGAACTCTCCTCCTAGACTGGATGGTGACAGCCTCAGAGGACTGGATGGAAGGTAGATGCATGGGCGTGGCAGGAAGAGGACATCACCCAGCAGGACAGGTGATGGGCGGAAGACATCACCTGTCAGGACAGGTGGCAGGAGGAGATCATGGCCTATGAGGACACATGGGACCAGGCACACCAGGAATTCAGGGCACAGCTTCTGGCCCTGGAGCAGGACCATGTGGACGTCTTGCAGGAGCAGGGTACCTCTGTGGCTAAGGAAGTTCAGGCCACAGAAGACAACCACTGTGTGCTGGACACCATCCTGGCCCCGGAGGTCACATTTGTGCCACCATCTGCTTGGTCCCCAACCGTAGTCCCACCTGCCCCCTGGTAGCCACCCAGCAGTAGGCCCCCCTGCATGGGCCTAAGCAGAAATCCAGCACCTCCATGAGCCAGGAGACCCTGCCCTGGCCCTCATCTCAGGTTCCCCACCACCTAATCCCCCATGCCCGGGCCCAGGCCCACTGCTTGCCCCAGCTTCATGAAGGCACAGATCTGCAGCTGCCTGCAGTGGCGCCAGGACTGCACACCAGCCCTGCTGGCCCTGGTCACCAGCTGCCAGAGGGGCAGCCACCCGTGCTGGGGGAGAAGCGGCCACTGTTGCCCATAGGCAAGCCCCTGCCTATTGGGCTCACTGTAGTATGTGCAACCATGGGGGAACAGCCAGAGGCTCGGGTCCTGGCTGCCTGTCCCTGGGCTCCACCCCCTAGGTGCTCCACCCCACAGTCACCCATTCTGGGAGGGCATGCACACAAGCATAGCACTTCACTTGTAAATAGTTCACATGGGGAAGAGGATGTTTTATGGGTAGTGGATGGGGTGGATGGTGGAGGGGCTTTGGTGCTGAAGAGGGAGTGGGGATGGGTTCTGTTGTTGGGAAGGGAGAGAGGAGGAGGTCTGTTTTTTGTGAGGGCAATAAAGTGTTTTTCTGCAAACGGTCCACAGTGAACATGGTGCTGGGGACAGGGGGAGGGGTGGGAGGATCTGGGCGTGGTTGTCCAGGTGGGCTACAGTGGGGAGTGCAGGAGGAGGTGGTCCACCAGTGTTTCTCACACCCAATGCTCTGGCTCCCACTAGTGGGTGTGCAGCTCACCCAGGGCCTTGGTTGCAGGGGCCCTCTGGGGCCAACAGGACCAGCACCATAGCCAGCAGGAGCCCAGGGCACTAGGAATCACTGCCGGAAGCAAGGGCACAGGGAGGCAGAGGCTGTGGTGAGAGAGCCACTCCATGCCAGCCCTGGCCTCTGCACACTGCTTCTGGCTAGAAAAACAGGTGGCCAGGGAATAGGGAGTGGGGTTGCCTTGAAAAGATGGCTGCCTGCTGTGGCCAGAGCCTTGACCTCCCTCTGGTGGTGGCAGGAGCCCATTGTAGGGTCACAGAAGTGGGAGCAGTTTTGCTGCTAGGAGCAGCAAATCTGTTCCCATATCCTTGCACGTGTAGACACCTAAACCTATCATTCCCATACTAGATTGCTAATAGCATCTGAAGATTAAATACAGTCTCAGTGACTACCCAGCTAATATTTTTTTCATATATCTCTGCAATTATTTCAGAAGCCAATCATTTTCCTTACATACTATATATACTCAATTTTTATAAGCACAGTTTTGACTTTTAATAAAAATGACTTCTTGATGAACACATGGGTAATTTCAGGTTTTACCTAAATAAGCATTGCTCTAGGACAGTGTTTTTCAACTGGAGTGCCAGAAAACCCTTTTAGGGGTGCTGCAGTGCTGGCACTGCCAATACTGCCACTGCTGCAGCCAGAAGAAACTGCCCCACATGCCTCTTTCCTTCATTAGGTTTATATGTACCCCCTCCTGCCATAGTTACTTCCCAGTCCAGCCCACATACACCTCCTGGAAAAAAGGGTGCTGCTAAATTTAGAAAAGGTATGGAAAAGTGCCATAAGCCTAAAAAGGTTGATGACCACTGCTCTAGGATAACATCTTTTTCAGACACTTTGGACTAGCAGTGACACCTCTGTGATCATTCACTTACAATCCTATCTTACTGGTCAGTTTTGACTGTCAACAGAGTTCCTGACAACAGTTCACTTTTCTCCCATCCAAAATATCTCCCTGTTTTTGCATAGTCACTTGAGTCACAGATACAGCCCAGATTACTTTGCCTCCATGGTGTCAGTGGGCACATGTACATGTGCATTTGCTGCAGCACTAGTTTACTCACGAGTAAATTACTTGCGAGTAAATGGTGCCAGGCAGGTGTCTATATGTGCAGGGAAGCGGGAGCAGATTTGCTGCAAATCTGCTCCTGCTTCCCAGGGCCCTGGAATGGGCCCCTGCCACCACCAGGGAGAGCTCCAGGCTCTGGATGCAGCTGCCAACAGCTGGCAGCCCTCTTCAAAAGCCAGCCCCGCTCACTACTCTCTGGCCAGCCACCTCCCTGGCCAGAAGCAGTGTGCACAGCACAGGGATAGCATGCAGCAATGCTCTTCCTGCTGCCTCTGCCTCCCCACGTTATAGCCCTGGCAACAACGACCAGTGCCCCAGGTTCCTGCTAGCCACTGCAGCAGCCCTACTGACTCACTGTGCTGACTGCTGCCTAGCCCACAGCCATCTCGCCCCTCCCAGCTCCCCCATGCATAGCAACCACCTGCCTGCCCATCTTCCCAAAGCCACAGCAGCGCACCTACCATCTTAACCCCGTCTGCCTAACTGGACCCTGGTAAGGATGCCGATAACGGGCTCCATAATGCCACCACTGGGGCTGCCATTGCCTTCCTAGGCCTCTAGCCCTGCTGCCTCTGGGACCTCCAGGCCAGCCTGGACTGGTGGCAGCATGTGAGATGACAAGTAGTGACTGGAGGCTTCAGGGTGACCTGAGCCACCTTCTGGGATATCCTGGAGCAGCTCCAGCCACACCTGGAGCAGCAGGACACTGACATGTGGCCACCCCTCCCCATGGACACCCAGCTGGCCCGCACCCTGCTGAAGCTGGTCATGTCTGCCAGCCTGTGGTACATCGGCCACCTGTTTGACATGGGCAAGGCCACCACAGGGAGGCCATCTGGGATGTGCTGAGGGACATGGTGCTCCACATGCATGACCCCCTGTTGGGGGGAGGGGGGTGTTCCATGCCCTGAGATTCCCCCAGTGCATGGGGACCCTGGACAGGAACCACATTCCCATCACCTGCCTGCCCCACAGAGACTGCCCCTATTACAGCTGAACAGGCTTTCATTCTGTGGTGCTCAGGCTGTCATGGATTACCGTGGCTCCTTCACGCACTTGAGTGCTGGTTGGGTGGACAGCACCCACAACACCTGCATCTGCAGGAACTCTACCCTGCCAGCCCTGGTGCAGAGCAGCCCCTTCGTGCCAGGGGTGCCAGACCTGCAACTGGGCGCTGTGGTAGTCCCACCTCTTGTCACTGGAGACTCTGCCTGCCCACTCCTGCCCTGACTCATACAGCCCTACACCAGTCAGCTAGACCCCCACCAGGCTGCTTCTAGGCAGCAGTCTGCACATGTGTGAGACTCAGAAAGAGTCCACAAGATGAAGCTAGGTCCCAACTGACCACACTGCACTGTGGTGCCAGGCAGTGGTACCAGGGCACAGGCAAGCTGGTATGGCTATCCTGCAGCCTGCCCAGGGACACAGGGGCTGGGAGTGCCCTCAGACTCCCTGCCGGTGTGCCCCAGGGCTCTGAGTGCCTGCAGGCTTTTAAGGGCCTGAGGCAGGGGCTGTCATAGAGGCAGCCCAGCCCTGGGGCAGGAGAGGCTTCCAACCAGAATCCCTTGGGCTACCTTCAGGTCAGCCCCCTAGTGACAGAGCTGACCTGGGAGCAATTTTGCTCCTGGATTGCATCTATACATGCATTACTGCACAGTAACTAATCATAAATAAATATGATACAGCTACTCCTTTCTCAACATCCTAGTTACATTCTTGAAAAATGCGACTTTAAGCAAAATGATGTTAAGCAAATCCAATTATGTCACAGTAGTTACCAACTAGCAGGCAGCGGCCAGACAATGTTATTACTGAACATTGCATGACTTTAAACGGGTATGTTCGCTATAGATCAGCGACATAATAATGAAACAATGTTAACCAGGACAACATTAAGTGAGGAGTACCTGTACCTGCATTTGTGGGCACCAAATTTACTTGCGATTAAGGTTTTTTACTGCACAGTCAGCATGCACACTTGTAGACACATGTGCTTACTGCACAGTAAACTCCACTACTGCACAGTTAAGTATCTCAAGTAGACATGCACAGTATGTCCTTTGAAACATACAACAGAAAGAATATTAGGAATTTCTGAAGTGCTTCTGGACTCAATGAGTTAAAGGGAGTTGCAGAGCAGAAAATGGGTATCAATTCCAGTGGTTGCCAGTGCTCCTATAACTTTGTCTAGAAGAGCAAAGCCAGAAGCTGAATGTCCCATGGCGTTGCTAAGCTTTTAAAGTAATGTTTCCTTTAATACAGACACATAGCCAAAATGATCACTGGAAAATTGCTTGTGTAATAGTATAATAGCAATTAGCAGAATACCTTGAGGAGCATTATGTCGTTTTCTTTGGAAGAAGAGTTAAACTGGGGATTGGAACAGTGCCTCAAAACCTTAAATATCTGCTGTTCTTTTTCAGCTATGGATGGTTGATGGGCTCCAAGAACAACTTTAAGTTCTGATCTTCCCATTCTGTATGCAAACAAAATCCAGTACCAGAAAGTCATGACAGAGCTTAGCAACTTATTGTAGAATAATAGAGCCAGGTAATATCAAACTCATATTTTCATCATATATTCATATTAAAAAGCCATTATTTTTAAAAAGTTAGTGTTTCCTTAAATATACCTGTCAGATTGATGTATAGCCTTGCAATTTTATGCAAATTATTTATACCTAAATAAACCTGAAGTTTGAGTAGATTCTTGTCTGCCTTTTGAAGTAAGAAGGACATAAGTGTTTCACACACAAAAATAATATATCATATGTTAGATATGTACATTAGACTGAAATATGAGACTGCTATTCCATGCTAATTCATCTAAGAACAGAGAAACTAACATACTGATCAGATGAGTGGTGTATATCTAGTCTCATCTCTTGTCAGCAGTGATAGCCATACCAAATACTTGCCAATAAGCAGAAAGAAAATCTGTATCAGTGGTTATAAAATAAAACTTCCATACAGAAATTACTTGCCCATTAATTAGAGGCTGGATTATTCCCTGAAGTATAGGGGCTTATATTCCAACCAAATTCTAAATATATATATATATATCCAAATCAATCGATCTATCAGTTTCAATATAAGATGAACATTTTTTGCTCCCCAAAGTGAGTTTATTTGTTAGGGCTCTGTTTTTCTGTACTACATTGTCCTTAGGTGTAAGGCTCTTGTTAAGAAAAATGCTAATATTAATTTTTATATAAAAGTTGTTTTCCAGTTGGAAATTATATACATTTTTCTTTACTGTCACCCAAGTCCAAAATAAAACTTTAAAGGCTGTCCTCTTAGGGCTTAGTCAGGGCAAATTTCCACTTGCTTGACTGGAAGTATGATCTGTATAATGATGCCTGAATTCAGCATGGAGAGATTTTTCCACTGCTGTCAGTGGATTCAGCATTGTACTTAAATTTATGTGCCTGATTTTAAGCTTGAGAGCAGTCTCAAAGGAATCAGTGGTGCAACTCACATACTTCAGCTTAGGGATAGGTGTAAGAACTCTGTGGAATTGGGGTTGTAGCCCAGTCCTGGATCACTGAAACCAACAGGACTTAGTTTCAGTCAGTACAGGATTAAGTTTTTACTAAAGAAATGGAGAAAAACAGGGCATCTTGGGCACATCTACACATGCAATTAGTGCTCATGAATAAACTCTCAACCTAAAACAATTCTAGGACCTGTGTGAAATTCAATGGGTTTTTCCAGCCACATAAAAAAAAAGAAAATATTTTTGGAAATGTTAAGGTTTTGCAATGAACTGCTTCAAATTTTGAGGCTGGATTCATCAAACTGAGGAATCAGCCCTGAATTCTTTCATTTTCCCAGATATGCCAAAAAAGTCAGGTTAACAGAAGAGGCACACTGAGGGTAAATTGTAAGGGACAAGACTAGGAACAATGGATTCAAATTGAAGCAGAGGAAATTTAGGCTGGAGTTTAAGAGAAACTTTCTGACCATGAGGGTGGTCAAGTCTTGGAACAGGTTACCTAAAAAAATTGTAGAATCTCTATCCCTGGAAATTTTCAAGAGCAGGTTGGATAGACACTTTGTTGTATACTTTAGTCAGGGATCATCCTGCCTTGAGCAGGGAGCTGGGCTTGATTCCTTTGTGAAGTCTCTTCCAGCCCTAGTTTCCTATCTATGATCCTATGTTTAAGGAGACTTCAAGTTTACAGGTAATCAGAATTAGCACAAATATTACTCAATCTTTTTCATGATAATTATTAAGGCAAAATAATTAGAGGAGTGAGAAATAACAATGGGTAAATATCTGACCTAAGAGTAAAAGGTGAAAATTAATCCCTGATGCAGACTGTAGAGGTCTCCCTTATCCTGAGCTGATTCTAATTCTATACAGGCACCTATTCTACCCAAAATATGTGAAACATCATCAGGAAAAAACAAGAAACCTGAATTCTAGTTCCAACTCTACCATTCTTTTTTGTGACACAGACAAGTTAGTCATTTGTCTTTTCCCTTCAGTTTTCCTATTGCTACGACAGGGATAGTAACATTTCCTTATATGTAGGGGGTATTTTGAGTCTCAGTTCATTAATGTTTACAAAGCACCGAGAGACTTTCACATGGAAGATGAAGTAAGCAAAATGCATTGTCAGTGATCCACCTGGTGGTGTCCACACACCTTATTAATCACAATTCCTACTTCCCTAGTAGGAACATTAGATGTGCAAGGAGGTAAGGATTAGGCCCATTCTTCTTCTGCAGTGCGGACAAACTAGACTGGAAGCTAGGCTGTAACTATGAAATATTCTGCTTTTGGACCTCTGTCTGGTCCCAGAGAAGAACGGTTTGCATGTCAGCTACCAACCTTCCTGAGGCACTACCAAGTGAACTGAATTTTGCAAACACTGGGGTAGATTCTGCCATTCAAACCTGCACTGAAGAATACTTTGCTCCTTGGAGAACATTGATTTCAGAAAAACTGCTGGTGTGTGAGTTTCTCACAGGGTGAAAGGGTCGTAAAAATCAGGGCCATAATAATGACTGTATTCAGTGCAATCTTGGACTTAAAAAAATATCTTAAGGCAGGTTTTAAGGGTCCTAGATCACCTACTTGCTGACAGAATTGCTGTTTTTATCACTACAAAGATGCAGTACTCAAGTCTTCTTTATTTGCCTATTTGGATATCATAACTCACTTATTCATTTTCAGTTGTCAGAATATAAAAGGCATCTCTAGTAATACTCACAGTTTACAATGTGCTGCTGTCAAAATCCAGTTTTTTTCAATGAGAGCTCCCCCACACACAGTTGATCTGCCTTTCTGTATCGCAGCCATGAAAGGCCTGGAATGAGGAGCTACTGTATGTCCTCCAATAATCTTAATGCAGCCATCTGAAAAAGAAGAACTGAAAAAGCTTAGATATGTCACATATGCATAAACCAAGCTAAGAAGGTACATGTGTTCGTTTATTCTGAGAGACTTGCTTACACCTCAGGGGAAGGTTAACAGCTATTACAGAAAACAGCAAAAGCAACAGCCGACCCATCATGACTGTCATTATTTTCAATGATACAGATTTTGATATTTATATTTTTCTTGCAGGAAGTTGTGGTTTGGCTGTATTTTTTAAATGCTGAGAGGCTTTACAATCTGGTTCCCTTACTTTCAGTTTCTCATTAGAATGGTCAAACATGCAATGCAGAATGTAGAATACTGAATTCCTCTTACGTGCCCTGTCATATTTCTTTAAAACCAGCCCACTTCATGAATCCCCTGACTATTTTAAAGAATCTAGTAATTCAATCTAATGAGAACCCCAAATAAAGCACTGCTTTATAAGACAAAAGATATTATTCAAATTACAGACTTTAGCAGTAATGTGCAAGCTAATGAAGATGCCCAGAAAGAAATAATGTCACAAATTGGCAAAGCACCCACCTTTACCAGCTCATAAGATTTGCTCAGTGAAGCCAATTCCAATGTTGTCTCCATCTTAATATGTGGCTGTGAAAACTGGAAATGAACCCCCATACAGACAAACATTTAAATGCCTTCAAAAGCAAATGCCTTAGATCAGGGGTTCCCAAACTGTGGTACACATACCCCTGGGGGTACGCAAAATATTTCTGGTGGGTACACAGGAGAAATTGTGTAATGGCAGATTTAATTTTCATTATTATAATAATTAGAGTTTAAGGGGTTAAAATATCAAACGTATGCTGATAGGGGTATGTAGACAGCTGGTAAATATGGAAGGGAGTACACAATAAGAAAAAGTTTGGGAACCTCTGCCTTACATAAATAGTATGTATTAAATGGGATGAATGTATAACTGAGCCCAAGTTTGTCAGAGACTATCTTGTAGTTTATCCTGCAAAGAAGATGAAATTAAAGAGAAGAGGGGAGTTACCCAAAAAGGATGGAGAAAAAATGGAAAAAGGATGCGTTAAGAATGAAGCCAGAACATTTGTCCTAGGAGATGTGCTATTGGGCAGCTGGAGAAACAAATAAAAGGGACCAGCTGAAAGAATCCTTCTACTGAACACTATTCCGAGAAGAAAAAATTATGGGATCAGTAGCTGAGAAAACATGCAAAGATCAGCCCGAGGTAGCTAGGGGGAGTAGAGCCTTTATTTCTCCCCCACCCCGAGGCAGCTGATGGTGTAGGATTCAGATTCAGGGACTCTATAGCAAATGATACTACTAATCAGTAGGCTAAAATTCCATTGCATAATTAAAGCAAATCAAGGTACTGAAGGGGTAATTCTATATTTCTAAACATTTGAGTTATCACTGATTTTTTTCATGTACTCTGCTAAACCACAGCAAAAAGCACTTGACTGGGAAAGTAGCTTTCCCAGGTTACTTAGGACGTTCCCTATCGGCCCCCCTACCAGTGGGTGTAATAACAAGCGGAACATGGGTGTATTCGTACCTCCGTAAATTTCAACGCAGGCTTCTACTGCTGACGTTGATACAGGGACCTTGCCAGGATCGTGACACCAGCGATGCGGCCAAATACTGTTTGCCTAGTGTGGAGTCAGGGTCAGTGGATACCATCCGGCGTCCCAGGTTAAGTAACTGGCTCCCGCTATTGCATACAGGAGCTGTGCGGGCGATGAGTCATCGGGTGGATCCGCATGCCAAGCGTGAGTTCGGTTTAGCAGTGCTGGGACCACAGCAGCACACAGAGGGATTGGCCAAACCCGGTTGCGTAGTATTTGAGTCGTGTCGCTACACGCTCCTCCACTCCATGCGGGTTGGCACATTAGGGTAGTACACTCCTCAGGGTCTACTAAATCTGACCTGTGTTCTAATATTAATCGTCCCAATCATATCACCAGTGTTTCACCCGGATTTAGTCGGGTGTCTTTTGCCAACTCTTGGAGTTCCCCTCTGGTGCGCATGCGGAAGGTAGTGAGGGTGCGGGTTCCCGTGCCATCGACGACAGTTTTCACTAAGGCTACGGGGTTCGCATGCAGAACGGGTGCGCCTATGTCGGTGGGGAGGGCGGGATATAGCCGCGGCGGGGTGTTAAACGGGGGCGGTTCCTCGGGCGGGGCTGACGGGGTTTTGCTAGTGTCGGGGTTTCCTGCCCGGAACTTTTCGGCCACTCCCTCTTCTTCCCCCGCAGCGCCATCTTTAAGCGGTGGTTCAGGCTGTGCGGCACTCTGCTGTGCGGCTGTCCTAGTCAGCGTATCTATCATGCTGGTTTGGTTCACCGCGTGTCATAGTAGGGTGGTCACCGAGCGAAACAGGATATTAATCATCTTTCCCTTATTCCACTTTTGCCCTGTCCACCCTGTGGC